AATATCACTGCATTACTTTTCCTGTTATCATTTCTACTCCAAATGAATTTCTTATCATCAAATCAATTTGAGCAAATGTTGAACATAAATGTCATCAATGTTGATCAGCTATTGTTACGTAAAATGTCACCTGCATTTGTTTTTTGAATGTTGTAACTACTTAAAGCACTGTTTGAAAGTATTTTTTTACCAGTTGCTGAACAAACCGGTTGTAATGATTAGTACTCGTCTTCTTTATGTTATTTTTACACAATATTATAATCATGCAATGTGCTAGTATTCTCATAATAATCATGAGATGATATTTTGTTGCCATTTCACAATCGGTATCACGTGTTGTAGAGCCATGACACAATTGTTACTAAACTGGTATTTAATTAGAAATATTCTATCGTAATAACATATTTACATATGGTTGTTGACTAGGAATGAGCGCCAATCACCGTAGTTTGGATGACAATGTTGCATCTTTTTGACAGGCAATAAGAAAAATTGTAAATGATAGTAATATAAAAATATTAAATGTGGTATTATAGTCTGAACAATCTAATTGGCATTTATTATGCAAATATTTGTGTGGTTTTGAAAAAATTTTACAGCACTGCTGTTTTCTCTCAAATTGATATGCTATCAGCAAAAAGAAGAAAAAGATGTACCAATATATTGAGAGACGGTGTTGAAGCTAAACAAAGCTAAAAAACGATACAATGCAGAGCAGCATCCTAAGTCTAGGGATAGTTATGGCAGTGCTAGTGTTGCAAACCAACATGAGGAATGGTGGCTGAGTGACGAGATTGATTTCTATTTACAACAGTACATGATTCGAATTCCTCTATGCAACATTTTTGTGTTAATCTTTGAAGCCTTCAGATCACAAAACGACAAAGCGTGATAATGGTGAACAGGCTCGAAAAATAAAATGTGTCACTGCGGAATGTCCACTAACAAAGAATCTACGTGTATTTTATTGTCTTTTAACTATTTGATAATTTATAATCATGGCACTTATCGAAGTTATACTTCGTGTTATTGGCACATGTCATGTTCAAATATCGCATAAGACACAATTTCCATGCAATATACGTTGTCTGAGGTATCCTGGGTACCAAATCACACGAATTTATGTTGTCATAATGAACCTATCCTATTGTCAAACTACTGTTATATTCGTAATAGAAACACGATCGATAATAAGTCCTAATGATATTTGTAATTGACCAAACCTGCTTTTTTCATTTTCTTATATGTAATTCCGCTGATAGATGTATTCACGGCTTCAGAAGAATACTTGGATATCCTAAAACTGTCCACGATTAAATGATAATTGTTAAATGAACAATTTACTGTGTAAAACAATCAAAAAAGATCGATGTATGATCGTACAGGGACAGGAGCACCTACTTTAATAAACATTTCGTCAGCTATTACAAATCAAATTGTAACTTTAAATTAATCAGCTTCAAGAAACAACAGTACCAAGAATTATTGCCCGCACAGCGATTTAACACGCTTATGGATCTCATCACGTACGTTTTTAACCACCATTGCATTCTTTCCGTCAATCCACATCATACCGTTCAAACCTAGCGCTATTTTATATTTATACTCGCGTCCAATATCATTCAGAATATTTTTCTTTATGAAAAGTGTTTTGACCAGCAGTGCATCGGTCTCAAATATCCATCCACCTTCAAGAACACCCAGCCCTTCCTCACAACAGCTGGCAAATACCACGTCTCCAACCCGTAATATTCTGCACAGCAAAAAATCGCCGGTATTTATTTTTGGTTTGTTGCGTTTTGTGCAGTTCAGGAAAGCCTGTGCAAGTAGAACACCTTTCACAGCATGACCAAAATCTAATTTAATATAATCTGGGTGGATACCTACTGCCTTACCAATTGCTACATCATTTTGCTGTGGATTGTACAAGGCAGTTGGTGTGACCAGAAGAGTGTACGAAGAATGAGTAAAAAATGCGGCAAGCTGAGTGGCACGTTGTGATGTGTCTGGCAGAGAATCACCCGGTATGACCTTCTTCAATTTTAACATGGGTGAAGTTAAAGAAATGGATATAGGGCCATGGATTAGTAAGTTAAAGGATAAAACATGTAGGAAACACGAAAACATAGAATTTATTGGTGATTTTGGTGCTACTCATTGGGATAAAGCGAAATTGGAGCATGTGCGGTTGATATGAGCAAGCACAAAAATAGTCACACACCACGGTAATGGGCTGCTGCCAGCAAAACGAACGAACACTGAATTCATTGTTTTCTAGGAAATGCATTCATCACCAAATTATGTGTAAAAGAGGATGTGGCCACGACAAATGCTGATTAATAAATGTTATAGCGCATTCAAATCAACGTAACAACCGTTCATAATTTGCATTTTCACAGTTTTATTCGCAATTTGCAAAAGCCATAAGTGTTTTGATTAAAGATTCAATACAGTCACGAATTACAGCCTTTGATAGGAGCAATGTTCACTGACATGCACATCGATCATCACTAATTCTCAGGATATATCACGTACGTAAATACGGCTTCAAAAAATTAATAGTAATTTCTGACTGTGCTACAGGCAATAGATGACAATTACATACACGATAAATTTTATTGAACTAAACAACCTGTGTTATACGTTCATATTATGACTGAACTATTTGATTGTATCCTTGCCGTCCTTCATCAGGCGCACCACCGTGTTTTTTATCTTCCCAAGAAAAACGCTGGGCATATGGTCCTTAAAAAAGTCAGCATCTACCACGATACTATCAAAAGATGAGCGCTTAACCTTGCTGACGTATAAATAATGCTTGTCAGCCTGCATATGGTATATATTACCCGGAAGGAAAAGTTTGGGATGCAGTTCCGACTTCCTCAGATGTTTCTTAATCTTTTTGATAAACAATCGGAGTTGTTGTGCATCATTTTCCTTTATCAAATTGTCAGCTGTTCCGATGGCAGCAGTCAAATACTTGAAATCAAGGACTGATCCATACGACAATCTGGGAAATACATCGCTGCCAAGGACAAAGATTCTTATCGAGTCAAATCTTTTTGCAAGGTTATATGAGAGAAATGGCGGCGATGAGAAGGAGATTACAGACGTTGGATGTGCGTAACTCTTTGTGGTCAGCAGAATTGAAACCAAGCAGGCTATAGCACCACCCAAAGAATGTCCCACGAACACAATCTTTTTTAGTTTCAAGGTTTTCATGTAGTGGTCTAGCACAGCTTCATGCTTTTCCAAGAATTTTTTGGCAAGTTCAAGAATACCGCGATGCGCATACCCATCCAGAAACTCGACGTAATCACAGCTTACATCTGCAAGAATATCATCGGCTGATTCTGTGCCTCGAAATGATACCATTAGCTTGTTCTTGTGTTTAAACTTGAGATGTGGCACCGAGTCTTCCAGTTTTATTTCCAGTAGATTGTTGTCTTTGATATTTAAAAAGGATAATATCTTGGCGCGCAACTTAGAAATATTGTTGATTGTGACATGCGGAATGCTTTCTGATAAAAAATTATCCAATATCTTTGTGAATTTCTGTGTATCTAAATTTGTTCTTGCATTAGTCTCCAAACCGATATTATTTTTATTCGCATCCGCATTTGTTACCACCTTGATTTGCGGTTTGATTTGAAACAACACTAAAGGACTGGAATAAGTTGCTACCGCGAAGTAATAGTAAATGTACAATTTTTTGTAAAAATTGATGTCTTTCAGCTTATAGCTATTCAAATTACTGGGCGAATGTGTGTGTCCCTTGATGTTTTTGTGTCTGTTATTAACGTATTTTACTGTGTTTTTCTTTTTTGCTCTGGTGTTTTTATCGCTATCGATTCCAGATTTGGTGATTTCTTGGAATAGCATATTCTTCTTGGTTTCTTGGTTACTCGAAATGTTTCTATCAACTGCACTAATAGCACCAACAAACTCTTCTTTGTTTTTGCAGCCATTCAAATACATCCGTATTAAAACATACAATCCTTTCAGGCATTTCAATCTGCATGTGTTAGATCCATGAACAAGAGGTACAATGAGACCTGCCAAGAAAAATATTTTGTTATTGGACAGCACGTTTGTGAAGATATTTAGTTTTGGCGGTCTCACATCATTGTGTTCGGTATCGTTTGACTGAATTTCGATCTGTATCTTCCCGATTGTCTTGTACTTTGAGTTTATTGTGATGTACGTGTTCATAAAACCTATGTCAACTATGTCCAGGGACAATTCTGTGTCAGCGATAAGCATGGAATTACGTATCTCCACAAATCCAATGTTCTGTTCGAACAGAAAAATTTTCTTATAAAAAATTATGTGGAACGTTCCGAACAGCTCGTCGTGTTTCCCATAGATAGGCACGTTGTGTTCGTTCTCCCAGACCGGCGATATTTGATCATGGTGTGTTACGCGAACGAGAGGAGACGCTACGTCGTTTATCTTCATTTTTTTGATTCTCACTAAAAAATTCTTCATTGGCCTGTATGTTGATGGGTAAACAAAGAAACAACCCTATATCATCAACTACGTTAGAATTTCTGGCATGCAACTTTGACTCAAAAATAAATTGGCAATCTGATTGTTACAAACAATACTTGCGACGAGAGAACGATTTTAGTCTCCCCTTAATTTTTCTAAATAAGGACTTATTGCTGTTGGATTAGGAAAAAATGATGTGGTAACCGGATAGCACGTTTAATTGAATTTAGTACCGGAAATGACTCGATTGGGATGGTAGCAGCTCGTGTCTATAATTTTTATTTTTGTGACAACCACTTATACGCAGTTAATATGTATCATTTCACTATTTAAACTTTCTAAACTATGATATGTAATATATTCCGTACAACTAAATAATATGATTTCAGGTTCTATGATTTTGATATAGGATGGTAATTTATTACCAATCATGGCAGTTTATGTTACGGTATTACGGTTGGCAAGCCGATGAGCAGAGTGAAAGCTATTTTTCCGTGAAAAATGTGTATAATTGTGAATGCCGTATATTACACATAACAAAAAATAATAATAAATTATATTTATTCAACTATCCGAGTCTATTGCAAAAAAGAGCCACACAATCAATTATCATATCTGGTTCTTTTCATCATTTAAATGAACCGTTTCAAAGTATCCCTTCCTCTGCTTCGAAGCTATTACCTTCAATTTATTCAGAATTGATCCAGGATGTGCACCAAGAACCAGCCTAGATATGCTTTCTTTTGCCCTTTTAATGCCCTCTTCATCCCCCAACAGGAATATCTCATCATCCTTTACGAGCATGCACACACCCATGGTATGTTCAATCGCACTTTTCACCTTTCCTTCTCTTCCAATGATACGCCCCATGGCACGAGACACGTTATCTCCGCTCAGCCTTTTAATTTCTGATATGTGGAACTTTATCAAACTTGTGTCGTTCTTCAGTAAGTTTACAGCTTGTTCAGGCGTAAACCCATCCAAAATGGCGTTAAGAAACTGAACGCCCTTCTCTAAATGCAGTTGATTGTTATCATCCTCAACTCTTAAGTCCACGCATGGAACTCTTAAATTCATACGCACTTGAAGACCTACCACATTCACCAATGGCGTGTAAATCTCCATCCAGTGTTCTTTGAACGCTTTTATTTTCGGGATTGGTACATTAACCGAGCGTGACGTGAACATGGTCATTTTTGCAATGGGTCAAAATTCAAAGATTTTATTAAAGGCGCTTGGTCGGTAATATGCGTTCAGCATGCCATTATAACTCGTGTTAAGCATATTTAAAGACAAAAATAAAGCCAATTTTCTATCAAAGACGTGCAGAATGTTTGTAGTAAGGCAGAAAAATGAATTTAAAAGTTAGCGTGGCGGATTATTGGATATACCATCTATGAAGAGCTGCTTGCCCACATTAAACTTTCAAAAACTGAGATAAAATCACTTGCTTTGTATTAGTGCTCAGCTGTGCAATATTATGTTTGGTAATATGAGGCGATGATTTTTAGATCTTCTGTAACGATTAAAAACAATCTGTTGATACTTGATACAATGTTCATTTCGCTTCAATATGAATTATAATTATTTCATCGGTGTGTACAAATATTTTTTCGCAATACCAGTGTATTATTTTGTGTTCTAAATTACAATTTAGTAATTTGTCAATTTATCATCACTTACAGATCGAACAACAACAAAATAGTTCAAAGTTTACAATAAAACCCAACATATCATCATTATACAAGCTAATTCACACAAAAACTACTAAAAAACCTCCCTTTGGCTATTCTAGAAAATTTTAACCAAAATTTTAAAACATACCTCCCACGATGGATTTAAAGATCGTTGATACCATAAAAAAAGGTCTGCAAGAAGTGGAAAAATATGATACAATTGTTATAAACACTTCTAGAGAGTATAAAGAGTATTTAAAAGAAGCGTTTCCAGCATTTATTGTTAATCCTGGTCGACAGTTCGAACAGTCTACAGAAGTGTACGTGACGGAGAGTGATTGTAAAGTTGTTAACTACTCGCTGTTTATCTACGGTGTTTACATAAAGAAGTGCCGTAATGTCTCGCAAACACCGATGCCGAATGTGAATAATGCTGTATCTGATATATTCCACGATTTTGTACAATTTTACGCTGCAGATTCGTTTAACTTTGTTGCAGCAGGTAGAGAAGATGTAGATGTGATCAATGTATCAGGTAGGCCCTTTTTTGTAGAGCTAAAGAATCCAAGACAGCATCTTTTCGTGCCAATTCCAGTTGTGTACTGGGAAAATGATTTCGTGCTTCTTAAAAATTTATTAAGAGTGAAAGGCAAGCCGATTAAGAAAATAATTTTAGACGGTGAAAGGGAACATAAGAAGAGATATAGCGCTATTGTATTCTGTAGCAAACCGAGTGATCCCACTAATCTATTTAATTTTGAAGGCGAAGGTGATCATGACACTGATGCTGAAAATTTACTGCACAGCAGTGATCTTGAACAGCTGGTCAATAAGAAGTTGTTGGTAATGCAGAAAACACCGCTCCGTGTGTTGCATCGGCGAGCCAACATGAATAGACCTAAAGAAATCGAAATCACTAAGATAAAAAAATACCAGCAATACTTACGAGTAACCATTTTGTCATCAGCAGGTGCGTATATCAAGGAGTTTATCACCGGCGACTTTGGACGAACAACGCCTTCCTTGGCATCATTGCTTGGATGCTGGTGTGATTGCGTTGAACTGAACGTTCTTGAGGTAGAAGCTAAAGATGTTCCGGAAGATTGTATCTATGAAGTAATGTAAAATAGAATGCTTTTGTTGAAAGGTAGCAATATTGTGCGGAATGTTTTTGATAAAGTTATGTTAAAAAAGAAATGAAATTGCCTTTGTAATTTTATTTTTCAAAAACTGCGCTTTTAGGAAAAATGTTGAAATAAATAGCATTAAATTTGCAAAGTAAGTTCCATGAAAGTTGGTGATAACGACATAAAATGACTCTATGAGAGCATGGATGCAACATTCAAATCTAAAATATACGTCTCTTGCCCATTTTAAAGTACTAAAACGTCTCTAATTCAACTAATCGTGAGAGGAGAACTAAAATACGGAATGCGCTTACCATTTTCAGAACAGAACATATTTACAATTTTTAATCCGGCCAAAACTATAATCTGAGACAGATACAGGCACTCTATCCATAAATTTGTGTTGCAATGAATGTATAATGACAGTAAAAGTTTTTGAATCTCGATCCGTTTTTATAAGCTTACGAATGACCGAGAGCATTGAATGTTGGATACGAAATTTACTTTACGAATCTATCGACATGAATACATGTGACATATTTGACGTGCATGTCAACACATGTAGGGTGTGGAGCAGCGGTATAATATCGGCTATTAGAGCAAAAGAAACTGCTATTTTCATTCATAAAAGCTTTCCCTTCTGTCCACCCCATGTCAAAGAAGGAACTTGAGATGGATGCTGGCAATGAAGAATTCAGGGAAGAAATCCAGCTAACAACAGGACCAATATCTGTGGATGAGCTAAAAAATTGTGGAATAGCCGCTGGCGATATTGCCAGGCTATGCGAAGCAGGGTATCACACGGTTGAAGCGTTGGCTTTTACACCAAAAAAACAGCTAATGACAGTAAAAGGATTTTCAGAGGCCAAGGCAGAAAAAATTTTGAAGGAGGCTGCTAAGCTCATACCTATGGGCTTTTCTACCGCAACCTCCTATTTCCAGAAAAGAAATAATATCGTTTTTATTACAACCGGATCACAAGAGCTTGACAAGCTGCTTAAAGGTGGAATAGAGACAGGAAGCATCACGGAAATATTTGGTGAGTTTAGAACAGGAAAGACGCAGCTTTGTCATACGCTCGCAGTCACGTGTCAGTTAGACCGAGAAAGTGGCGGAGGCTCGGGAAAGGCATTATATATTGACACTGAGGGAACGTTTAGGCCAGAAAGGTGTATAGCGGTTGCGCAAAGATTCGGGCTTGATCCAGATCAGGTACTTGAAAACATATCATACGCACGCGCTTATAACTCTGATCATCAATCACAATTACTCGTGCAGGCAGCAGCTATGCTGTCTGAGTCTAACTATTCGTTAATCATTGTTGACTCAGCAATGGCTTTATATAGAACAGATTTTTCGGGAAGAGGTGAGCTGGGTGCGAGGCAGATTCATCTCGCAAGATTTCTCAGAATGCTGCTAAGACTCGCCGATGAATTCAGCGTAGCGGTAGTGATTACGAATCAGGTCGTTGCTTCTGTTGATGGCGCGGCTGCGATGTTCAATGCAGATCCTAAGAAGCCAGTGGGTGGTCATATCATGGCACATGCGAGCACTACTAGGCTTTACCTGAGAAAAGGACGTGGTGAAACACGAATATGCAAGATTTATGATTCACCTTGCCTACCGGAATCTGAGGCTGTGTTTGCAATTACCGCCAATGGTGTCGATGATCCCGAAGAGTAAAAACTTTGCCATGCATCAAACCATGGAACTTATTTGACTTCTCGTACAATTGACAAAACTAAACGTTTTAATTAATTTGAAGGTCTTTATACTCGTATTAGCTAAGCAGTATTGCGTTTACACAACCATCATATTCAGGGTTATTCGTGACCTGTGCGTACTTACCCCACACAACTCGTCCATTCTGCTCAACAATTCCAAGTTCGCTAACATTAACTTCAATAATAGTTCCTTTGGTCAAAACACCGAGAGATGTGTACAAATGCGAATGGGGATTTGTCTTAAGGCCTAATATCGGCAAACAAAATGTTGTTTTCAACTCTGGATGCGTCACATGCGCCTTTTTGAACCGAAGTGCCATTGGTCGGATAAATCTCTCATACTTAGGTGTTTTTCGTATAAAGTTATCACCCACAAAGCACGGTTTAACCACCATGCGCTTCCAGTGCTTCCCTCTTTTCTTTCCCGTGGTAACCACGTTAAAAGTTTCCACCTCTGACAACCCGCCTATCCGTGGAATGGGTACCGAGTATTTTGCAGCTGCCTCCTTTCTCTTTTCTTTGATCTTGTGTGAAAGCTCCTTTCCTCTCGCTACCGTTCCTCTGTCCATCAGCAGCAATGGCAAGGGACCGCCCAAGTCATTTTCTATTTTCTTTTCTTTGACATTCTGTGCCAGCACATCCTTTCTCTTCTGCGACTTGATCGTTCTTTGTTTCTTTGCGAATATCTTTGCTTTTACACCTCTCAATTCCTTCGCCAGACGCACTTTGATCTTGCTTTGTCTTTCCATTCGTTTTTCCTTCTTAATTTCAAAATTTATCGGTCGTCCGTATTTCTTGATGTGCTCTTCTATGTAATTATTCTGCGGCATTTGCTGTTACAGGGCGTTAAATATTTTTTTATAGTCCATGATCGTAAAATATTTTAGATGCTTGGCCATACGAGTTCAAGATACGATCTTCCATATATATCATGTCACAATACACTGAGAGTCCTATATTGTGGTATAGAGCTCGCAATTGAAACTAAAAGTAGCTGCGATATCAGTTTTGAAGTCCAAACTGGTACGAAGGGAAATATGCCATGCTTTTGATGCAACGATCCTAATTTGCTAATTTTCGTATTTTTTGTAATGATTTTTGCACTTGAGCATTGTTCTAAGCTACCACGTGCTATTTTGGTGATAAATAACGGAATGGTACTTTTGTTGCGGCAAGTCTTTTTCAAGTTCTTTTTACAATTTGTTTCTTTCATAGTAAACTAACGTATGCATCTCAATAGTTAATTTTTAATATGTTACAATATCATTCAACCTATTTCTTGGTATAAAATACTTGCACTACGACGTACTGCATAGAGCTGTAAAAAGTGACACTTTCAATTCATTACCGAAAAAAGAAAATTGTTAAATGCATTGCACCTTATACACGTGTATTAAGAAGCATGTAAATAAAAATTTGGTCATTTTATTATACAAATGCAGTCCAAAGCGTATTTATAATTTATTCAATTTTTATTGAATGGTTCAGAACCTTGCAATAAATGTTCATAGTGCCACATGCCCGCTAACTTTGTACCGAAACGTGCCGTATTTCGAATTTTCGCATGCATGTTATTAATTTAAAATTTAGAAAAAGAAAAAAATCATCTACCCCTCCATGGAGGAAGCTATACATGAGATTGAAAAAAATGATGGATTAAGGATGACATGGAACGTTCTACCAATTGTTGATACCGAAGAACTGCGGCTTCCCATTCCTATAGGTGTGCTATACTCGCCCCATCAGCAGTGCGAGATGTTGGAATACGAACCTATTTTCTGTTTAACCTGCCGATCGATCCTTAATCCATACACAACCGTGGATTATAATACGAAGGAGTGGACATGCATCTTCTGCAACAAGAAGAACCACCTACCACCGCATTATCGCGATATTTCACCCGAGAGCCTGCCAAATGAAATGATCTCGTGTACTACCGAATATCTGTTGACAAGAGAGAGCACCTTCCAGCCAACCTTCTTCTTTGTGGTCGATATGTGCACGTTTGACGAGCAGAGATACAATCTCTTGATTGATGGCATACGGATTACTTACAATGGGTTGCCGGACGAGAGCACTGTAGGTTTGATTACCTATGGCACCAACATTAACCTATTTGATTTCCAGTCGGAAATTAAGAGGACATTCATCTTCTCAGGTGGAAGAAATTACGAAAAGAAAACGTTGGAGAAATATTTTAAGGATGATAAGGCGAATACGCAGTTCCTTTCGTTTGTTTTCACCAAGAAAACGGTGGATGTTAACGATTTTGTAAAGATGATGGAGCGCGATCCCTTTCCTGTGCGGAGCGGATTGAGACAGATACGCTGCACAGGCTCGGCGCTATCATTTGCCGTTTCACTTTTAGAGTCTGTGGTTCATGATGCTGCTACCAAGATATTTCTGTTCACTGAGGGACCTATCACATTTGGGCCTGGGATAATGGCATCACTTAATCTCAAGGAAAACATAAGATCAGGAAATGACATTCTGCGTGGAAAGGCAAAATATGTGAGAGAATCAAAGAGATATTTTGATGGACTAGCAAAGAGGATGGCCAATCTGGGAATGTCGATTGATATTCTGTCGGCCACTCTCAATGATATAGGATTGTACGAAATGCAGTCGTTGATAGACCTCACTGGTGGTTTGGTGATTATGGCGCAAGATTTTGATCATGATATTTTCACTACATCGTGCGAGAAGAACGTTCGATCAAAAAATGGTGTAATGGAAATGGTCTTTAACGCTAAGTTTAAGATACAGACGAAAGGACTTACGTACAAGTCTGGTATAGGCCTTGGTTCGCCTTTATTGAACCAGAAGAACGAACAAATCGGGTGGAAACTAGGATCGCTGCACAGGAATAGCAATGTAGGATTTATTTTTGACTGTAAGGCCAATAGGCGAGAGGATCAAGTCGGCTACATACAGATAATCACACAATACCAGCAGAGCGATCGCAAGTTGATCACTCGTGTGACAACGGCAGCAAGGGTTTTCGGGAAACTTCAGAAATTTAAACAAGGGTTTGATCAAGAGGCTGCACTAATTTTGCAGGCTAGAATGTTCACATTCGGGACACATCTTGAAGAGGACCTGGATCTGGTACGCCGTATAGACCGATCACTGATCCATTTCGTAAAAAAATTTGGAGAAAGCAACAATCACTTGAAGTTGAGCTCATCAATGACGTTGTATCCTAACTTCATTTATTTTTTGCGAAGAAGTCTTCTGGTGCAAACGGAAACGAATTCACCAGATGAGACTTCTTATTACCGCAACATCGTCACGAGAGAGCCGGTAACGAATGCTATGACAATGATTTATCCCACACTGACAGCATTTAGTTACCAGGATGAGACGAAGCCTGTTCCGATGGACGCAAAGTCTCTACAGCCGGATATTATACTTCTTTTAGACACGTTTCATAACGTGCTGATATGGAAAGGTGAGCATATAAACCAATGGATACAGGAAGGATACCATGAAAAAGAAGAATATAAATTTTTAAAGGACTGCATCGATGAGGCTGAGAAGCGAGCGAAAAAGTTGGTGGAGGAGAGGTTACCGACTCCGCAGTTTACGTCCACCGAAAGGTATGGATCACAGGAAAGAATTTTACTAGCCAAGGTTAATCCATCCATCAAGGGACAGGTTGTTGTAACAGATGATATTGACTATGCGGCCTTTTACGACTTTTTATGTAAAATCGTCAAAAATAATTAAAGACGTTTCGTTATCTTTGTTATCTTACAAGAATGGCTTATTTAATGTTGCATGAAGGTATCATTGCTTGTCAATCGTAAGTTCTAAGGTGAAATACGAGCAGGACAAATTGAATTTATAGGATAAATTTACCATCACAGCTATTTTTCGAGCACAAGCAGCTATTGCTTGTGCTGATTCTCATTCGCAAGCATACTGCGATTGCTGTGATTATGACTCATTTTGATTTATAAAAGTTGATATCGCAATAGTTTTATACGCACTCAACATTTCATACAGTCCACTT